AAGTAAACAGTGTTCTGGGATATGAAAATGTTGTTATTTATAATAATCCTATGATGTTCGATTTGGTTCAAAATCTGACGAGACTGATTTATCATATCTCTAGTTATCATGAAGTTGAAAATTTTAATCTGTTTAAAAAATTTAAGCTTTTAAAAATAAAAATAAGAAATAATTATGAAATTGTAAATCAGAATATGTCAGTAAGTAAAAATAAAAAGGCTAATGTTTTAAAAGAAGAAGCTTTTAAATATGAAAATGATCATATTTTTAATAGTGAAGTAGAAAGTGAATTATTACTAAAAGCAATTGATACAGCTTATGAAGATTTTTTAAAAGATGTTGAAAATGGTAAGTTAGACACCTTATATTCTAAAAAAGAACCTAAATCTAATAAGAAAACTAATTCTAAAAAAAAGAAAGATTCTTTAAAGAACTAAACTTAATAAATTTAAGTTTAAATTTAAAATTTATTGTCATAAAAACTTTTTTAAAAAAGGGTTCTATAATTTTTTATAAACAAGGTATAATTTTCTAAACAATGTAAATCAGCTATATTTACACTCTTTGAAATATTTTCTATAAAAATAAAATTAGTAAATTTTTAAATATAAAACATGTTATTTAAAATATCTTAAAAGATAAGTAAAAGTTTTAACATGCAACTGATGTATAATATTTCTTATTATCGAAAACAGCAGATAATATGGAAACTAATTTATTTGCACTATGCTCTCATATAGATTTACCTCATCATCTTGATGCAAGGATTCAATCACATCATCTTTAATATTTAATAATATACCCTTTGTATCATTGAAGAATTTTTATTTAATTATTTTACGTAATAACAAAAAAGCTTTAAACAAATTTTTTACATGGTATTGTTGTTATAGTAATTGATAAAACATCTGTAATTGTTTATTTTAAGTTTTCTATATAAAGAAATTTGAATAAATAAAAGATTTTCTATGAAAAAAGATTTTAAATCTTCAGTTAAACAAAATGCTAACAATAGTATTACAAAATTGAAGTATAAATCTCAATTTAAGTTTTGTAATCTTGTGGTTTTTAACGTAAATACTCATAATTAAACTAAAGAAATGCTTTTAGTGTTGTGTTTAACCTCGGGGATGCGACCTATAGCAACTTTTTGGAAGAATTAAGACTTGCTAGATATCTTACTTATATTGTTTAAATTGTTTTAAAAATTTTTAGAATATTGTTACAATCTGAAAGAAATGATGTCATTGTTTCGGAAAATACCATAAAAGGAAATTGAAGCAAATAAAATACAGTTTTATGAAAGATTTTAATTATAGAAATAATAAAGATTACAAGAGTGAT